CAATGTATAAAATATTTTACCAATATTTGTTTCAACGGAATAAATAGAAAGCGAGGTATTTTAACTTCCCATGGGTTATTGGAATCACAATTTAAATACGATATCTTTCAAATCATTATACGTAAGGTGACCATATTTTTTTGCATGAAATCCGGGACGGGTTATAATGTGTTTGAGAGCGGAGAGGGGGGGGGGGTGGTATTGGTGAGCTAAAAATGCATACGCACATTTTTTCGGTTCAAATTTTCTGGTTGAAATATATCAAAAACTATTGGCAATCAAAACATTTTTAAAAATCTGGGCAATCCGGGACAAAACACCTAAAACCGGGACAAATAATGCTTTTCGAAAAAGCCGGGACGTGAGGCGGAAAATCGGGACTGTCCCAGCCAATGCGGGACGTATGGTCACCTGATTATACGCAGAAAATGTGCTATGTACCTATGTGGTTTTACCCTGATTTGATGTCATATAAGAATATGTTTCCTACTTCCTTAACAAATATTTAAATTTTCATTTATTTCATGCTATGCTTCGTGTATATGGAACCCTTCTTCAAAAAACATTAATAATTATTTGAATGTAATTTTACAGGCGGTTACTCTAGTCAAGACTTGTGAGGCAACATCTGAAATGAGAGAATGCCGAGCGCCCCGAGACTGGTCCCTGTTAGCTCTTCAGAACATAAGAACTGGAAAAAGTCATTATTTGGTTATATGCAGATGTCCGGAAGATTATAAACTTGGTACGTAACATATCATTATTTGAATATGACATAGAATATTTCCAAACCAAATAGTAACTAGTGTGTATTTTCCAACTTTACATATTTACACATGCATATATTCATACATATCTACATATATATAATAAGTCGGGTTTTCCTTCCTGACGATATAACTCCAGAACGCACGAACCAATTTCGACAATTTTGCATTCGTTGGAAAGGTCTCGGGCTCCGCAAGTTTTATAGCTTTCGTGCCTTTATGCAAATTGCTGGAACTTCACGCACCGTAATTAAAAATTCGAGTAATGACATTAGTGAGAATTATCAAGTCAATGAGCAATTCTTGTCGCAAAGAATAATGATGTACACGCAATGAATTTCACCATTTAATCAAAAATTGCTGGCGATTTGGTGACATACCAATGATTCCGACGGGTCTTTCGTTTGACTTCAAACGATTTCAATTTCCAGTTCGCCTTGCGTTCGCCATGACAATTAACAAGTCACAAATCGAAACGCTTAGTGTTTGCGGGATAAATTTAGAAAATCATTGTTTTTCACATGGGCAGTTGTACGTTGCCTGTTCACGAGTTGGGAAACCATCCGCTTTGTTTGTGTTAATGTCAGACCAAAAAACAAAAAATGTGGTTTACCTGAGCACTTCAATGAAACGGATAATTTGCGGATTCACTTTCATTTACTTAGAGAAGTTCAACTAAAAAACACTTCATTTTTGTAATTGAAATAAATTCATTACTGTTGTATAATAAAATCAAATTTTTCCTTTTTAAATATAAAACAAACAAAAAATTTCTTCATCTTTCTCACGAAACCATCTGGTGGCGAAACGGAGTTCGTCGCGTTTGCTAGTATATATATATTTCCAGAACATAAGGCTGTAAATTTTAGTCTGTATTAGACTGTTGACTAAGCATAAATTGAACTGTTACAGAAGGGCCAATGTCGCATGACCAACCAAGTTACGCTAGTGTACCAGGAATTCGAGTGTACGGTATGATGTGCGTAAGATCACCAGGATCATCGGTTCGACGTCCTGGCGGTCCTGGTGGATCGCCTATTCGCGTAGGCAGTTATCAGCAACAGGCGCCTCAATCCGTGCAAGGATTAGGTAAATATTAATAGTAACTTGAAACGAATTTGAAATTATTGGTTTGAATGTTTGCGATATGTTTTCAGTCACAATCGGTTGAAATACTGTATCTTTGTCTCCAATCAGTTGGAGACTTTGATGAATTAATGTTGAAACAATATTAATGCTCATCGATTATTTTCCAGGAAACTCGCAGGTGGGTGGTCAACCAGGATTTCTCGGGGGCGCATATGGTGGTTACAGTACGGCAAACACGGGCGGCGGTTACAACTCTTTTACTGGACGAACAGCAAGACCTTTAAGAGTTCGACGAAGAGTACCTCAAGAAACGATACCTGAATTTCCCTGGCGGACTGCCAAAGTATTAGCGGAATCAATCAACTGGGACGATTGAATAAAATAATTGAAATTTGATTACAAAAAATTCTGCTGATAATATGAATTTGTTTTTGATTTGTAATCCAAGAGTGAACCGAGTTAGTTTAATCTTAATGTGACGAAAAGCAAATTCTTCATTAAAAAGGTATAAGCAGAATTATTACTGATAACATTTCAAAAGAAAGATGGTAAATATTCAGCGTATTAGCCAACAAACTGACAAGAACTCCAAAATTGAGTACTGCAATATGTAACATTATCGCCTAACTCATTCTGATAACTTGTGTATCATATTTTTAATCGTCCATGGACAATCTGTCGTTTTAGTCTCAAACAAAAGCTAACTAATATGCCTAACATGTTATGTCCCTAATAACATTCATGGCAATATTCGTAAGTTGTTATTGTTTTAGGATAAGTTCCTTCCTAATTTTCTTGAAATTTGGTGATCTGATAAACGAAAAGTTTAGCCATGACTCCTTTTCTTTGACATTTGCCCTTATTCATATTTGGAAAATACGTTTCGTAGAAATATATTCGTAATAGATATTAAAAAATAATTCATAATTAATTTGAATAACAAGCTCTTGTTAAAGACCCTATCGAATTATTTTAATATTTAAATCGCAAATTAGAATACTGCTTCCTATGTTGCCGAATTAGGTTTGATAAATAGATTCAGGCATTAACGCAATACTTATAATTAAAGTACTTTCCTTTTAAGAACTTTGATTTACGTATTGTTAAAATTACGCAGATGATTTATAATTATGACGTCACTAAAATTAGTGTCATAGTTATGAAATTTATGATTATAGTAATAAATTGATCAAAAATCATCACCGTAATTTAACATGACAATGCCAATAACTATTAAGTATATATGTAATATGTACAGAAATAATCATAGAATTAATGTTTTAAAATTAAAATATGTTTAAGTACAGCATTATAATAATACTGATATAATCAGACATAAAGTGGCAATAAACAATAAATATAGAAAAAAATTAGATAATTAATATAATAACATACAAATAATTTTCATTAATGCTATAAGATATAGGAAATATGATGAAATAGTGCTTTTGTTAAAATGCATTGAATTTCTTTCTGAAAGCAATTACAATATGGTATATTAGGAAGATGTGAATTGCAATGATATAGTTATTATAGACCCCATGTATTTTTAAAATAAATTAATTATAATATAATAATAGACATAGCTATTATTTTATTTTATTTGTTATCATTACAGCAAAGCATGAACTCGCGTGGAAGGTGTTTCGAATTTGACCCATTCTTTTTTTTATTTCATCGGATTGATCACAATTCGGTTAATTAAAAATTATGAGACAGTGTTTCACATTTTGAAGAACTGAAAGACTCATGCTCAATACGATGTATCTTATAATACGTCACTTTACGCCGGTTTCCATACTATTTTCATACATTTCTTAACGCTTAATACGATTTATTACTACATTTAATACGTCAAAAGAAACTGACGATTCAAAAATATTCGGATTTGAAAGTTTTTGACAAAAAAACACAAACAACAAATCAAACTCAGTTCTTTCTGAAATGTACTTACTAGTTGTTACGTTACATACCCTTTTTTTAAATATAAAATTTAAAAAATTCACAGATTGGAAGCTGTCCAGAGTAAATAGCAAAATGTTGGAAAGTTTAATAAATTGAAAAACGTATTAGTAAAATGGCTTCATCATGCGCATACTTCAAAATTGCCCATAAGTGGCATATAGGAGAAATCGTAATATATGAGAAAGCGCATAAAATTGCTGAATATAACTTATTTTAATAATGGCTGAATCAAAGTTCCTGCACAACAAAATCTTGATACATGGATAAACCCAATGTTTCCAAAAGTAAAGGGAGACAGACTGCCCTGGTCTGTGCCAATTCTGGTAGCTTGGAAAAGTTACATTTGCCAATAAGCCAGAGTTTTATACCCCTTTTATCTATAAGTCAGACACACTGCAAATCTTGTAATAGATATATCAAAATCTTTTTGATTATTTCAAAAACAAAATAAGTGATTATTTTTAAGAAGGAAACGTTATAATTACACTACACAATTAATTTTATATTATACCTGCACATAAAATCAGGAAATAATACAAATGTTAATACAGTATTACCTACACTAATATTATAGTAGGTCCATTATTTTCCCTATCCCGCATAATAATTAAATAAATAAATAAAATAAATAAATAATAAGCTTTTTTGCTTATTTGGTAGCATCCCTGAGAAGTCGTCTTAACAATAGTTCAATTCTATAATCGTTATTTGCGTTGATACAAAATGGTCGATGTCGATATGACGATTTTTTATATCAACATATAAGACAATGATAAACTAATTCAATATACAATAGGCAAAAATCTTGCAAAACTCGAACTTTGAACGTCGTTTCTATCAGATCATCTTGAGCATTAGAAACAAATAACGAGGACTCGATTTATTGGCAAGGAAATCATAACTAATGTCTTCCAAGATTCTAAAGTTACGGTAACAAATAACATCACGGATTTGTTTAAATTTCACACAGATCTGACTAGACCGGTGTATATTGATTACAAGCCCAATAGATTACTTGTCGATTTTTAACGGAAAACGTCACCCTTAAATTCATCAAATTTCAGTCGTTATATTCCGACATTACTAAATAGTTCAGAATATAATATTCCGACAATAATAAATAGTTCGCGATATAATTTACAACAACAGATCAACATGCTTAAAAAAAAAAAGACTTACCGAGCACTTCTCCGTTCACTGTAATACTGGAACTGTACATAGCTGCAACCAAACGCTGTGGACGTGCGATGAAAGCTTTTCTGCATCCTTCCTTCACAGCGGACATAATTTGGCCTATTTTGAAAATAAGTATGCAATACAATGTATGTTACAAATATATTTAAATATATGTACATTTGTAATAACTTACCTGATATAGGACCATAAGGTTGTGTCGAACCAGAAGAATCATTTTCTACAATATTCCATTCTTTTATTATAAAGCAAACTCCTTGCATTGGCTCTTCACATAACGGCCCAGATAAAGTAGCCATTTGAAAACCATTAATAAAACTACTGTCATATTCATTTCTTTTATCAAATGATATACTTTGTTCTTCCTCCTCTGAATTTCTGTTTATTGAACTCCATAATGATGATCGTTTATAATCACTGGTGTTATTTATTAATAAATTTGATCCACATTTTCTCGGGCCACAACTCCAGATTTTGTCCACAAAATTTTCAAAATCTGAACCTGCTTCATTAAATGTTTTAGCAAGCTCTTCTTTGAAACTTTTTATGGCATTAACTGCTCCTTCAGTTAGATTAGATTGATTTATTTCTTTATCTTTGCTTATGTTCAAGTTGATATTAAAGTAATATTCAATGGATTTCAAAAGTTGAGTGTTTTTTTCTAATAACTCTAAAACCTATGTAAAATAATTAAGAATTGAATTGAATATATAATATATATATATATATATATATATATATATATATATAATATTGTTAGAATAAGTTGCTTCTGGTACCTGTTGTGGCAGAGGTACTGCAGTCATAATAATTGAACTTTGCTTATTCGCTGTCCAAATTCCAATAGTAGTTTTAGTATCATCATACTGTTCAATATGGGCTTTATTTTGATCCTGCAAATTTTCGTTCACCATATCCACAACTGGAGGTGCAACAATAGTTTCTCGAAATGGAACAATGGGATCGGAAACTTTAATCGGAATTTTGGCGTATCGTAATCTAAAAACATGTTAATATATTAATCTACATATAGGTAGACATATTTATATATATATATATATATATATATATATATAATGTTATTCAGTAAATTGATCATAGCAAGCCAAACAAAATCAGTCTCAACAAAATTAGTATTTGATCCAACAACATGAGTTTGCTAATAATTTTCATAAACTTTATATTGGAAATACACCAATATATAATCAACTTTATATTATAAAAAATATTTGATTATAAATCACATATACAAAATAACAAATACAATACATTAATACAAAATTCTTACCTCAAATCCTCTAAACATTTTTCCAAGTGAACTTCCCCAGCAGTAGCTAAAACATGCTCTCCTGTGGCTTGCAGTAAAATTTGAACACATGGATCTGCTTGGTTAAGTAATCGTAAACCCTTAGTTAAAGCACTCATATCATTAGGATTTTTAGGTTCTATTGCAACTCGGACTATCGGATCCACATATTGTATATCACTAAAACTTGGGCAATATAAGCTTGTTGAAATTGTAGCTGTTTTTAATACATGCTCTTCAAGTCCTCCAATTCCTAATACCAATCGCAATAACAATGATAATTTAATTCTCAGCAAAGCCTTATTTAGAAAAAAACAATTTATAAGTAATACCTATAATATTGCCGCATGGCGCTTCTTGCAATTCTTCAAGTTCACGTCCCATAAGTAAATATACATCCTTAATTGTTGTTTTAGTAACATGCTGATTCCCTTTTAAATCACTCAGTGTTAACTTGATATCAATTTCATCTTCATTAACAAATTTTGGATTATACTTTGGACCTAGTACATAAACTTCTTGTCCTAAAATAAAGTGAATAATATATAAATGATGTAATTTTAATATTTGAAACAGTTTTTTGATAATATATACCTCTCTTTAAGGTACCACTAAACACCCTTGCAAATGCAATGAAGGTATCCTCGAGAATATTTATTTCTTCATCTTCAGTAACTTGCAAGTTGGCCATGTTTTCGGTGGTTTCAATTAAAGCGCCTGGAAATAATATCATTAAATTAAATAAAATGATTGATTTATGGAATTATATATCTTTCATAAACTTACTTGAATTTGCATCTAACTGTGCTAATCTTTCCATATGTCTTGCTCTAGCTAATTCTCTTCGTCTGCTAATATCTTCTTCTGTAAGTGGCTGCATTTTGTTCTTTGGCAATAAGCTTTTGTCCACTGAAAACATTTTTGATATGTAAACTATAACAGGTCTTTGCTCTGATGAATCACAACTAATAATATCATTTTTCAGCATCTGCAAATTATTAATTCAAAAATTTATTATTGCTGTAGTTACAAAAAATTTATGTATTTAGAATATCAAAATAAATGTAATAAAGAATTTATTATTTTAAATATAATAAGGAATTTTAATACAAAAATTACTGACTTGTGTTTGTTCCAACAATGAGTCAAATCTCTCGGATTTTGAACACATCATTCTATCCACTCTTTCTGCTGATATTTCTTTAGGAGACGGTACTTTCTCGCAAACCATTTTCAATACAGCTTTTGCTAATGGCAACCATTGTGAACAAATTGCTTGAAGTTGGACCTAGATAAAAGTAACATAATGATTAAAATAAACATAGCAAATCAAATTGTAAATGGCAAAGCAAAAATAAAAACCTTTGGATCTGTATGTCTCATATCCCTTGCTGTTAGTTTTATCTCCAACTTTTCTACAATATTTGGCAGTTTTTCCTTATCTTTTCTGATGAGGATTATCTCATATAAAGACCAAATATTATCTAAAACAAACTTGACAAATAATGGCTTTTTTGCATGTTCCTGTGCTCCCTTTTTGAATCTTTTTGTTTTACTGTCAAGATAAAAATCTCCCCACAAGACTTTTTGAAGCAGCTCTTTTTTTATACCTGGAAACATTAACAGTAATTATATACAACACTCATTTCAGCTATTTTCATTAATTATATTGAATTAATTCAATTCACCTAATTTTTCAGAATATGCTGTAGCAAATTCTTCAACACCAAAAGCCCAACCGTCTGCTGCACTGGCGAATAAAACATTTCCAGATTCTGGTGTGAAATACAATTTAGAATCGTCAGCTTCTTCCAAACCTGAGCTCCAATCATATACAGCAGAATTTTCATCTGTTTTATTTGTCTGCGAGAACATATTATTAAATTATTAACTACTAAAAATTAATGTCTGGAAAATAATAATATAAAATTTGTGATTTAATGTAAAATTACAAATTTAATGTTATTATTTTCCTTCTATAATCCCTTTCATCTTTTCTATAATTTATTTAATAATTGTTTAGTGAGTATGCATTAATATATTTATCATCAGTTGCAATGAATAAAAGAAAACAAAGGATGTAAGTAATAATTATTACATTAAATAATATTTTTAATAATCATTGGTATCAAACCTTGCTTGCATCAATTTCCTTTGCCATAACATCAGCAGCAAATAATTCACCCATTACAGCATTAACTTGTTCCAAAACTTGACAGAGATAAACATATGCATCTAGAGATGATAATGCTCTTTCTGTTATCAATCGATCAATCTTATTTAATACTAATACTGGTTTCAAACCCTGGTGCCATGCTTGCTTGAGTGCTAATCTGGTCTGGGCACATACTCCTTCAATAATATCAATCTGGAATTATCAAACTATTTAGAAATCAAGTATATATATATATATATATATATATATATATATACAGGGCCGGTCCTGGGGTCCTTAGCGCCTAAAATTATATAAATATTTGCATATTTTTTAAAAATTAATTTTTAATTATTCTGGATTAAGTACTCAAATAATAAGATATAATCTAAAATTAAATTTATTTAGAAAATCAAGGCGATTCGCGGGTTGATTATAATTAAATATTTTTAAATTTTTGATTATTTTTAACGTATGTGCAATTATAATATTTGGGTTTTAAAACATTTTACTTATTTATTATGCGATATATTCTATTGAGCAAATCATGCCAAGAGAGCTAAAAAAACTAGCTTTCCATTTTCAAACATAACACTCGTATTTCATGTTGGATTTTTTAAATTTTAATTTAATTTAATTTTTCATCATTTACAATATCCAAAATTGCGTCGTAAACTTCTCCTTATTGATATTGTAAGAGCCGAATTTTATTCATCCTAGTTTTCCCGTTATATTCAGAGTATCAGTTTGTTGTTTAAAGTTAAATTTTTAACGTATTTTAGAAGTATTGTCCAAAAATCAGTAAAAACTGCAAAGAAATTACACATTTCTTAAACTATATTGAAAAAAATTTCATTATATTTGATATGTAATATTTCTGCATAGTTAAAAATTTAGAGTATGGACACCACTAGGTATAAAAAAGCCTTAAGATTTTCGTTCTAAAGTAAATTTTGCTTCCATTTTTTATATTTGTTCCGTTTCCATAACCCTAACCATGCATATCTTCAACATTCAAAATTCATCAGATGCGAAACATTTGCAACAAAAGTAAAAGTTACAATTCAATTTGTCGGAATAAACATGCCATTAAAGCACTGTCTCCCCTTTTTTCCTATTATAATTTGATTATATTTTTTAACAACTAAATCAGCTTGCAATTTTTCGTCAATAATGCCCAATAATTAATTTAATCTTTCGTAGGTTTGCGCTTATGCGATTGACAATAGACAATTTCTTCTTCGATTTCACGGCAACTTCAAACAAAAAAAATGAATAAGTAGATTAAGCAATAAATAGAACTGTTATTTACTAATTTGCAGAGTTATTAATCGATTAATTGTTTCTACTGATATCACATTGCAAAATAAATATGCTTTTTGTGTCTCTGTATCCCTGGTTAAGTTAGATTGTTTATTATAATTTATTAAGTATTCTAGATTTTATATCGCATGCAAGGCAGGACTGGCCCTGTATATATATATATAAGGTGTCCGAATATAACAGAGACATGTGGAAATATAGTAACAGAACTGATTATAACCATCATTAGAAAAATAGAAAAAATCACATTTTGGGTTACGATTCCACAATTTAAGTGAACAAACATAATAATATATGTATATACATGTGTGTGCAGTGTGTGTGTGTATATAATAAAGATGTTAAATATGCATTTAAAATTATACATACAAAACTGTAGAGTTTATAAACTTTGAATACTTTGTATGCATAGAAAAAGCTAAATCACACATTGTAATCTGAGAAAATTTTATTAGAGCAAATAATTACCACTACGATAGCTCCATCACAAAGGCAAACAGCTGTAGAGACTTCACTAGAAAAATCAACATGGCCAGGAGAGTCTATTAAATTGATTAACCATTCATCAGATTGATTTGTGTAGTAAAGAGAAATACTACTGCTTTTCATAGTAATTCCACGTTCTTGCTCATCCTGTCTGCTGTCCATGTAACGTAATTTGCCAGCCATTTTTGGCGAAATAATGCCATTGCTAGCTACTAAAGAATCGGCCAAAGTAGTTTTGCCATGATCGACATGTGCTACAATGCATATATTCCTTATTTTACAAGTCTTCTTTTGTAGTTCACTAATTTGTTTTGCATTGATAATTCGCATAATGATATTGTTAAATAACTGTTGAAAAAAATAACTTTTTGTAAACTGTTATCACTGTCTCTATTAACTACGTGCTTCTTATTCCAAATAATTTTCTCGAATGCAACGTCCATGTGCTTCAGCAAGAATGTAAACATGTGTAAATGTCAAGAGATTGAGGTTAAGTCCGTTAAAATGAGACAAAAGAGTTGTCAAATTTATAAATTTAAATATTATACACAAAATGAATCAATAACAAAAAATGAATATAAATAAATATTAATATATAATTGATATAAATAATTTTTACTAAAATGTTTTAATTTCATTCACTGGTCACCAAATGATTAATTTTCAATCACAAATAAATATTTCATAAGTTGTGCAATAACGTTACGAGACTTTCTCTATATGAACGTGATTGTTATTTCTTCTCAATCTTTAATATTTCTTTCTCCTCAATTTTTAATGGAACTAGCTGTAAGTGGAATTCTGTCTTGAGGCAATTATGGCATCATGCCTTAAGGCAAATTGCTCGAACTTCCCGTACCGTAACGAAATGTTCGAGGAATACTGAATGTTTTCAAATAGAATATTGTAACATTGTCTAATATTTATAAGAATTATATAAACTGAATTGCAGAGTTGAAATTATTTGTAAAGTATATTTGAACTATAGTCAGAATTAAAAATAAAATCTTTCTTCTTCTTTGAAAGTTCTTTGAATCATTCAAATCGGACGCTTAGTTCTCTCAAAAACTGCCAGTTTTTACATATTTAGCTCCGTATCTTCAAAATGGCTGGGCCTGCCTTTGCCAAAAACTAATCAGCTCTTTTCCCTATCAATAGGAATCGAATGTTTTTTGAACCATGCAAATCGGTTGATCTGTGCGCCCTAAAACGTGACTGGAAATTTGTATCCATACATACACACACACACACACACACATCCATTCTTTCTGAGGTATGCCAAAACCTTCAGGAACCTTCAAAACGTCGAGAAATGTAAAAATTTTCAATTCCGAATTTTCGGCCCATTACAAAAATAACTTACCCTACGGGAAGTTAATAATGTTTTTAGATTTCATCAACATTCATTTAGGTGTTAATACATATTAGATTTCATTCATCGACTTTTCTAAGAATTTTATGTTCACTTGCTAAATTTATTTCCTCAACGTTGCTAGTCATTCTGAATCGTTTGACACCTGAATTGAAAAAATGTATGTGGTGAACAAACGGTATTGTTATATTTCTTTTTAGTCTTTGATAGATTTTTATATTCATAATAGTTTTATTTAATTAATAATTAATTATTATAAATTAACAAAAACATAATATTCATAGATTTATGTTTTAAACTATTGTTTTTTGAATCCAAATAATGAAAATTTATGTTTAAACTATTATATTTTCATTCAATAATTTCCCAAAGGAGAATTTTATATATTCACCAGAATATCCGACTTACTTATTATTTTATCATTTTTCCACATTTCAAGTCATTCTGAATCATTACACCTAAATTAGAAAATGTATGTGTGTGTGAATGAACAGTATATTATTATATATTTCTTCTTAATAAAATTAAGAACATTAATGCAATTATTATTAATCAATACATTAATAATAACAACATTTGTAATAGATTCATGTTTTAAAATATTGCATTTTCATTTATCAACTTCCTAACAAAGAATTGTATGTATCAGCCAGGCCAGATAATCTGACTTACCTTATTTTATGTTTACTTGATATTTCAAGTAATTTTGAATGTTTGAACATCTGCATTGAAAGACAAGTGTATGTAAAAATTGACTTTTTTAAAATACAGCAACAATTTTAGAAATTTAAAACAGATTTTATAAAACAATGACTTACCTTGATTAGTTTTGTGCCACAACCGGCCAGCCAAGCCATTTCTTTATAAATAGCAAAGAAGTTAAATTATTTCATTTTTAGTAATTGGTTTTTGCCTAAAGTTCTGATTTTGAAAAACCAAAACACTTGAAGATATCAATTGGATATTGTGCTGAGTAGTGTAAAGGTAAAGATTAGCCCGGCTATTTCTTCATAATTAATTGCCAAGATTATGTTTCACAATTTTAATGAAATTTTACATAGTGAGAGAGATTCGCTCTAAAGTTTAGACAATTAGCCTTATACTATAGGCATAGAAGTTGTTTAATTATAATATATCTAAGATTCATCAAACATTGAATTAATTACCAGTTAAATAATTTGTTGTCACAATTATGAAAATTGATGAATCTCAATGCTCATCAATGAATACCTAATACTAATTAAAGAAAGATTATTTATTTGTGCTTTGCATATTTTAGTAGATTCTTGCAGAGTTTATCCACATCATAAGAATCTCTTAAAATTTATAAGGCTTTATGTATAATGTTAATTTGAAAGGCCTTTTATATATTCCATAAAGTGTTTTGGCATTAACTTTGTTTCATAAATTAAATTTATATCTGTAGATAACGTGAATTTACATTAACAAATGTAGTTATAGAAAACATTGTCTTATGTTTCACCATTAATTTAAAAAATTTTATATTGTAAATATTATTTTTGTATTTAACATTCAATCCTTCAGATTTTTTTAAAACTATTAGTTGAAGGTTACAATGAATAAAATGTAAATAAATGGAATTATTTTTATGGTGGTATAAACATATGGTATTACTTCGAAAACTGTTCCCAATATTTAATACAAACCAGTGTATATACTGTTTCAATTTATAATAGTTTATATTATATTTATATATTTACAATTATTTCCACACTATTCAATGAATACTCAAACAAGTGCTCTAATTAAAATAAAATTACAAATTAAGTTTTGTATACCTATACAATTTAAATCAGGACTAAAATTTAAAAACCTTACATAAACAATTCACATATTGGTCCATAAAAATAACACTAATTATGTGTCAAGTTACATGCCACCCCTTCTAGACGCTGAAGGAAGTAACAACATAACTGCAGACATGGCATCGGGGAATAATGAGTGATAATTAACTAAAGGTACATATGCGGCTGTTATGACTCTACCCGCAAACCATCTTCCATGTAATGAATTAACCGCATCCACAGCAGTAGCTATGCTCGGGCATTTTACATAAACGTTGCCTTGATTGGATGCTCTATCAACATACACATGTAAAACACCACCATGCTTGTTGCATTCTTCTATAACATCATCCCGAATTTCTGTATCCCAGGATGGATTTGTTTCACTGAAGAAAAAAAATGCATTAATTTGAGAACAATAAATATTTAAATATTACATTAATAATTCATGATTTGAATAGAAAATGAAGCCAATTCATGACTGGTTAATATGTTTGCAGATAAAGCAGCACAGAAGTGTTCAAACTTCTGCTGATATAATATATAATAATAATAGGATACTAAATATATTTTAATTAAGTAAATTTGATTATATATTTCATAATTAAAAATTATTATTAAAGTTTATTATATATTAAAGTAGTATTTAATAAAGAATTAAATTTTAGTGATCCTGAATAATTTTTAATTAAGTAAATTTGGAGATATATAGTTTATAATTAAAGACTAGAGTAAATTAGAGTAGTTCATACTATATAGAATTAAATTTTACCTGCTTGGATCAAACATGTTGGCTAACATAAAGCATTGAGTTGCTATAGGAGGATTTATTTGGGCTTGAGGTTGAGGTTGTGGCGCAGTCGCCAAGAGAGCTGTAGCCGCAGCTTGAGGTACCTTGAAGAAAAAACAAAAATATTAATTATTATTATAATATAATGGTATAAGTATGTATTTAATCTATTTCAGCTTCTAGATCTCTAAAGATAAGTATTGAGCAAAACAGCTGCAAAGGCAGTAGACTTTGCCAATAATCATTGTGTTTCTATCACATGGGTTTGATTATAGTTTAGGGCTTAATCAATAATAAGGTTTTGAATAAATATAAAAATTATTTCAAAATCTTTTGTTGCATTATTTGCAATAATCACCATACAATATGAAATATAAAAATCCCTATGCTTATTTATCATATTTCTTAAATGAAAGTTCTTCGAATGGAATGAGCATAAATGCTTAGCTATAAAGAAATTTATAAACATCTTTTCATTAAAAGCAAGTAAATCAATACAATAGATTTTTGGCAAAAAATAGAACATGAATCTGCAGGTAATACTGAAAAATATTCTATCTTGCCAGAAGAAAACTCTCATGATGAATAGCCCATAGTTATGATAAAAAAAACAATAATGAATGACAAAAAATAACATGTAGTAAAAATTAAAAAAAATATTCATACTTATCTTGATTATTAAAATATAAATGTTTTTTTTATCAAATTTAATTTCTGGAATCTAACTTATATTTGTACTAGCCCTTCGTTTCATATAATATAGTTGTTTCATGAACGCAACTTCTGTGTTATATGAAGATTCCCTGTATTTGTTAATATTAAAAAAATTGTCTAAAATTGCTAATAAATGATATGCTCATAAAAATGCTATAAATATTCAGTGAATTCCTTTATATCCATAACATTTATTATCTATAATTTATTCTTGCAAGAAATCCAACTGAAGATTCAAATCAAAGGAAAAGATTACTTACTGCCAGTCCAGCACCCTCTGCCAATTTAAACATTAGCTGTAATCTTCCAGTGGCTCCTAAGTCAATTCCAGATCGATCTAGTTCGTCTGTGTCAAGTGAGGATTGTCCAGTTTGTAAATCTAGCCTCTCAGTAACATTTCCAACTTTCATAGGTCGACCAGCCAATTCAAATCCATTTAACTGCTCTAATGCTTTTTTAGCATCATCGTGATTGTGAAACTAATAAATAAAGTACATAATTAGAAAACTTAAAATGGAGTTAGCATTGCATCAGTTGAATTATCAATAATTGGAATTAACAAACAACTAAAATTATTCATTATATCATTAAAAACATAAATGAAAGTATTAGTGTGATCAAAATTTAAAAAGCGACTGTTGAAGCAAGTTTGAGCGTTTTAAAATAATATTGCTTGCAGGAGGATAAGACAAACTAAAATAAAATGTTTAATATGCGTTTTATATTAAATTGTATTCATAAGCAATGAAAGCAAAACATGTGTTAATCAGAAGTCATTGGTAACACAAATACAAATAATATTTTAATATGCTATAAGTAACATTTGGTAAATAATTTTTTTTATTGGATGTACTTAAATTTCCATTTGGACATCTTTGTTGTCCAAAATAAATAAGTGTATTGAACAAAGTAATCACTGACACATATTTGCAAGAATGATGTGAAATCTCATGTTCAAAGTTTATATAGCATATTTTTTCCCCCCAAAATTTTGAAAAAGCAATATTCTGGGTCTACAAATATGCAGGATGATATATAGGTATTTAAAAATTAACTAACCGTTAAAAAGCCATATCCCTTAGACCGCCCGGTTTCCGGATCCATTATCAATTGTATGCTGTCAATTTTTCCAAAAGGTTCAAATATTCCTCTTAACATATCTTCAGTTATATTGAAATGTAACGAACCAACATATAATCTCATGGGACCAGTATGGACCTTTGGTGCTAAATTGGGCATTGAATTACCCATTCGATTTTTTTCAGCCTGTGTGTGCTGAACTACAATGGGTATTCCTAATAACTTTTGTCCTGTTAGACCTAAGGCCTGTAATCAAGACAAAAATAAGTAAAATGGTAATTAACATTTAGAATATATTTGATCAGGGCATATATAGTTTTCTTTTTTTGTACCATTTTATTGTACTAAAATGGACATTAATGTTCAAGATATATTTATTATAGGAATTTGCCACAAAGTACTTACCAATGGTACACTTTCAGGATCTTTAAACTCTATGTATGCAATGCCTTTGAATCTTCTGGTCTTATTACATGTTATAAGTCGTACATCCCTCACTTTACCCACACTGGAGAAAAAGTCCTCAAGATCTCTTGCTCTTATCCTCTGATTGAGCTGCATACAAAAAACTGTTCTAGCATCTCTTTCCTCCGGACTGAGTTCTTCAGCTGTTGACTTGTATCCGAGAGCATTTGGAGGTGTTCGCCCCCTGTGTTTAGGGAATGGACGTGGTGATGGTGATCTATTACGTCGTTCTTTACTGCGTCTTCTATAATCATGTCTGATATATAAAAATATTGAAAGAACAATTAGCATCATACAATATATAATAAAAATTAGATATAAAATTAAATCAATGTTTCACATAGCAGCCAAAAGAAGACTAAGTAAATCAACTAATATAATTTGATATTAATATTTTGGAAACATTTAATTTAAATTATAATATATCTAAATTGTTTATTACAATTGTTGATCTTCTGAAACATATGTTTTAAAATATAAATATTTATAAACTGTAAGTATATACATAAATTGTTCTGAGTAAAATAATATCAAATAGTATAAAATGATAACAAAAATTTTTACTCAAAATTCATTTAGCATAGATTTTCCCCCCAAAATGTTGAATAAAAATCAATCATCTGGGTCTACGTATATGCAAAATTCAATAGTGAATTAACTATTTTACACAATAAAAAAAAACTCAAACCTGTCCTTATCCCTTCTGTCCCTAGATCTGCTTCTCCTTCTGTCTTTTCTATCCCGATCTCGAGATCGACCTCTATCTTCTTTATCGCGATCTTTCACTCGATCTCGATCCCTGTCTTTGTCTCTATCTTTATCAGAGCGATCCCTATCCCTGTCTCTGTCCCTGTCCCCTTTGGAGCGATCTTTATCCCTGTCCTTCCTATCCCTATCCCTGGACCTACTCCGATGACGAGATTTGCTAGAAAAGAAAAGTTATTGATTACATATAATAACGATACTTATAACAACTGCATACATATGTAACATAGTAACTGTAAAAGGTTCATCTAATTTTGTTGAACCTCTAAAACAAAACATAATACAAATAACAATTCTAATTTAATTCTAATTTATCTAATTCTTGTTGAACTGTTAATAGTTATAAAGTATATATAATAAATTGTTTTGAGTAAAATAATATCAAATAGTTTGAACTAAACTGATAGCAAATATATTCACTCAAAATTCATTTAGCATAATTTTTCCCCCCAAAATGTTGAATAAACAATAATCTGGGTCTACAGATATGCATAATAAAATAGCAAGCATATCAACTATTGTACACCAAAGGTGAATAATATAGAACTACTATTATTATTTATAAAATTAGAAAGTACCTGGATTTGTGAGAAGATGATCCATTTTCCCGACTTCGTCCATTTGTTTTAGGTGCATCATCCTGTTAAACAGCAAAACACGAGTGAAGAAAGCAGCCAATGACACCGCACAGCAAAAGGTAAAATTCATATATCATTAGCTTTTTCTAAACAAATAATTATTTTAAACAAATGTTATAAACTTCTAATTGCAAGACGTAAATTTTATCACATGAGCATTTCATATTCCTCAATGTAACTAAATTTAGTAACTTGACAATTAGAAAATACATTAAATCTAAGCCCCTAAATTACAAATATTAAATCCTTTACAGCTTCATCCTGTTTTACCAAGATTTGGTAAAAGATAATTGATTGCCATCAATTAGAGGGAAAGTAGGATTTGGGTATGTTATCCGCAAGATTCACAATAGAACCTATAAATGTATGTCCAATATTTTGGTTTGGAGGATCATTTGGGCCCACACTTACCATCCATATACAGCTATATTGAGTGCATCTAGAGGTACTAGTGCTTTCTTCATACTACTGCCTTTTAATGAACGCTTCTGCAAAAGATATACCTCATCAGCAAACTAATGATTTTTCTAAGCGTTTCAAATAATTTGCCTACTAAAACCAAAAATCAGTAAAACATTCACACTTTACACCATCTTCTTTAAAACAAGTCTTTTGACAAACAAATACATGTGATTCACAAAAAAGTTGGTTTAAAAGTTAATAAACGACTTCTTGTGAATGCATTTGAAAAACATATCTTAATAATTGTAACCCGTTTCAAAACTATATAAAAACCAATAAGTTTAGAGTTAAAATAATATATAAAACAAAAAAGTCATTCACTCATTAAACGTAATTTATATAAATTAACTAACACTTCAATCTAAGTTCAATTATTCAATACTGTATATTTTGCTTAGAATCCACGATGACATAGATCCATGGTGGAGGTAGTTCGGATGACCTCATGATACAGCAGTATGCCGGAATTAACAGAGTGTGTGAGACCAGGTAAGCCTGGGATAACAAATGGGAACAATTTTCAAATAACCAAATCTATACAATTTTCAATAACAATTGCAGTTTTAAAGATATTTTTAATTAAAAAAAAATCTTTTGGACACACATTAACTAATGGATTTTATAACAATACAAAAAAGCATTAAAAAAACGTAATCTGGAAATATTTATATCAGCTAGTTTTATCTTATAATACACATATTATATATAAATATACATGATATGTATATATTAATGTATATATGCCTGAAATTTGCACAACTATATTCTAGCCAATTTATAGATAATTGGATTGCATCCCACTTATTTAATATTATGTAAGAGTAATTTCTATCAATTACTATAAAAAAAACTAATATATATTGTTAATTAGATTGATATTATGTTTTCAGAACGTTATGTACCTCTATATTGAAGTGTCACTGTAGATGCATACTCGAGAAATATCTCAAAGGTCTATAAATGTAAAAAATGAGGAATATTTAAGTATTACAGAAGCAATGAAACAACAATAACAGTATATTTATACTCACCATCACATTTACATTTTTATTTTACATTTCAATGAATTATAAAAATTAAAACTGCAGAAACATTTTGCAGAAAATAGTGTAAGAAAATTACAAAACATAGGCAAAGTACAATGTGATAGTTCCTTTTAGCGTACGACAGAGAAAGAGCTCACGAATATGTTTAAAATAATATACCAGTTTACATTTAAAGCTGGCCTTAGTTTATACATTATAAACAAACGAGGTAGGAAGCTTGGCTTTTAATGTATGTTACAAAAAATTATATACAAATCTAACATCAATAACTTGTTGGGCAACTATATATTTAGAGAAGCTACCAAAAATGAAACTCAAACCACTATTACAATTTTGTATTCCATAAGTTAGGATACACAAACAATTATCCTATATCCCATAACTGATAAAGACTCGATTATCTCTTTTACGGTAACACGCAAATCAAAGCAAGAGAAGCAGAATTACATTAATTGTGTAAATTTGAGTGAATAAGAATTTTTCGCAAGCTATTCCTCTATTAGATTTATCACAATGCCTTTATCAAAAATCGTGGGCGATAAGGAATGATAAAATTTATAATTCATTTATATAGAAGATATCAACAATTCAAATGAATATATTGACATATATTGATCCCAGCATACAAGTGAAGGCAATTAGAAATTGCATACTTACATCTTTTTTATAAGGGGCCTCTAGCATGGCTTCTACATCCAGGTCTTCCGCCATCTTGATTTCTGCAAGTTTCAAAAAGCGAACAAAATTCCAGCACTATTATAATAATTTAACCAGACTTACATCTGTAATTTATCGCCTGATAATATAGAAAATCGTTTACGCTTTATTTAAATATATTTTTAAGAGCAACACGATCACTATTGAGCGTTCAACTAGCATTCAAAAATCGACGAAAACTTTCATGTACTTTCTCACTCGCTTGTTTCTATTTGATGACGATGAACTACAATGTTGCCAGATTGAAATAAATATCCTAGCAACCTGAAGTTGGCACGAGAATTTGCGATGTCAAAAAAACTGGTCATTTTTATTACAGATATTAACACATAAAACATCAAATTTATAACTTGATTATATTATCTTTTATTATAAATTCTAGACGAATATAATATTTATACATATCATATAAGTAATAAATAATTTATGCAATAGTTTTAAAAATTTGTGTGAATCATTTCTTCGTAATGAATTCTGCAACTAAGGTATTTGCATTTGTAAAGCATCTTTAGTGATTACTCTTATAATATTTCATGATTTCATTCTTTCATGATCTATTGGCTGAAGAAATATAAAATAATATTAGTATTTTATTATTTTGGTTTATGATGATGCTTTAATATTCTGTGCATTTGTTATTGTTAACTTATAATATCATATAAATCTTATTTACATGTTATGTGAGATTATATTATTATATAGTCTAGTATAATTTTATACTCAACCTTAGATGCACATTAATTAGTATAACTTCTTTCACAGGTTGGTGAAATATTTACAGCTGCTGGATCGGCATTCACCAAATTGGGTGAGTTAACTATGCAGTTACATCCAACCTCTGATTCACCTGCAGGGTAAGCATCATTTATTCATCTTTTTTAATATTATTCATTATACAATATTATCAAAAATCTTGTACAGTAAGTGGACAGATGAAGAAATTGAGATGCTTCGGTCAACAATAGTCAGATTTAAAGATGAGCTAACAGTTATAAGTCAACACATCAAATCTAGAACTGTGTAAGTCTTAATAATAAACATATTTGTTTATTTGTTCTAGTACTCTAATAAATATAGTATACTATGCACATGTATATCATAATTCATTGCAAAATTAGCATTGCATCACTACAATATGTGTTATTTTTATATAATACTTGAATTGTCCATTAATGCACATATTAATAAACTACGTTAAAATATCACATAAGTATGATATTTATTTAATTGGATTGCAGTGCATACATACTTTATTTTGCTTAATTATCATTTAGTTTATTTGAAACTAAAAGATAGCATAATAATTTCTTCATCCTACTAAACCTTATAAACAATTTCAATCAAATACAATACATATTTCTTAATTTCTGCAGATCACAAATTAGAAGTACTTTAAAGAAAAAAGCTTTTGAAGATGCCGGTATTCCTGTGCGACAAAATTCAAATTCCCAATCGCAAGCAAATAATTCTCAAAGTCAAAGTGTGATGGGAAAATCATCAGAGGTATAAAAATTATTTTTTTAAATTAACAATCGCTATATAAATAATTTATGAACAATTACTGTTTTTCTAGGTTACTCTTAATATGCTTAATGCACAAGAAAGTGAAGTAGATGTTGAAGGAATACATACTGATGTTAAATTAGAATTCGAGAATACAACAGAAGAAGTAACAGGCTGAGTTGAATTATAATTATAATTTAATATACCATAATTATGATAAAAATTTATATGAACTTTCTTGCTGAATTTGTTTTTATTATTTTGATTTAATATTCACAGTTTTGTATTCAAATAAAAAAAGGAAAAATTTCTGCAACCTATTGGAAGGAATTAATAAGTAGATGATTATATATTAAAACCCAAGTTTTTATAAATTTATTTTTTATGAAACTATATCTTACATATCACTTTGCCTTAAATATAATTATTTTTCTATTCCACTCTTTGCTAAATGATTCAAATATATTTGAGAGTCCTTGTTCTTGAATAAGTCTTACATTTCATCTTCAAACATTGTTTCTTATCTTCAATGATTTTATAAGAGCAAAGTCATCATTGATTTTTGCATTCGCCTTACTGCATTTTATAGCACTTCCATGGTTTGCAATTCTATTATTAACACCTCCGTTATATGCATAATATTTCAGACAGTCAATTAAACCTTCATCGCCATTGTTGAGGTGTATCCACATTAAAACCGAAAAACAAAATACATAATTGTATTTGACTTTATTGCTAGGTAAAAAATTAGATATTGACAATCGATCCTTTTCATTCATTATATTAAGGCAATTATAAAAAACATTGCTTTTAAAATCATTGTGTAAAATAGCTCTTTCTACTAAAGTGGATCTATATCAATGCCATATAACTTGTAGTTGGTTTTTGGTGCTTGTTTATTCAGAAAACTATAAATTGATTGAGTTAAGTTCCGGCATTACATCCGATGTCTAGAACATGACAATTTTCATCTTGCATATTGCTCCATATTTCAGTTGGAAGTGTTTGTATTCTTTTTTCGGGTGGATGGAATTGGTAGTAATTAATAAATTGCCATATTTTTACTGCACCAGGATCAGAACCTCTAAAGCTTATATCAGATACTGTATCTGAAGGAGATCTTTCTTCATTCATATTTGGAATTATGGTTTATAAACAGACTATTTTATAAAATAAATGGTGGCAAGTTATACAGATAAGTATATGGTTTTACATTTGTGTCAAGTCACAATCGATTTCATAAGTTATATCTTTATTATAAGGTTTTTACAAGACTTGTTATAAAGAAGCAGTCTCTTATAATAACCACATTTTTTTTGAATAGTTATTGAATAGCCTCCTTGAAGACGTTTGCTTATATGCTTATTTGCTTGTCATTTTTGAAATTTCCAATTAATGATAAAGTTATAAATTTCTAATGAATTACTTAAGCACCGACCGAGCCAGGATAATTTGACATTTAAAACCACGTTGACGTTTCAAGTTTTTGATTTTTAGGTTAGAATGCTTTATAATTATTTGGCGCAAAATTTGAAAAAATATAAAAATAATCATTCATTTAAATATGTATTTAATTAGTATTATATTTTGTAACAATATACCAATTGATAAAATATCTAAATTACAACAGACATTACCCAAAATTAATATGCATATAATGAACAAAAAAAATATTTATCCTCATAAGTAAAACTATGTATATAAATTTTAATAAAACATTAAATGTATTAATAAAATTCATACCTATATGTACAAATAAAAATATGTACTTTTAAACAAAACAATGATAATTGGATCATCTAGCAGCAAAGTTAGTTGGTCAGTTAAAATCAGATTCATTTCGAATTCAAATTAATCTGCGGGATTTCAAAGGTAACAAAAATATATTACATATCAAAATAATATTTTTACAAATCTGCAATATTAAAGTTGAAATTAGATCATAATGTATAATAGGCAGGCACAAATGTGTGCATCAATAATTTT